ATGACGTCATATTATGATCCGCGCGAATCCGGATCAACAGCCACGAACGACATCAAAAGCCGAACAAGTAAAGTTCCTTCGCCAAAAGTTGGTAAAATACTATTATCATATTCTTTTGATTGAGTTCATTGGCGAATATTTAACATTAGCATTGTTAAGATGTCTAAGGTGGATGAAGTGTTATGAAAAAACTTATATGCGTTTATGAGATCAGCGTTTTCCTTGAAGAAATGTATCTTTTCTAGGTCTTGAGATTTTACCCCAGTATCCCAGGTAGATCTTGGTTGCAAGTGAATGATTAAACATGGTAATTTTTCAGAATAGCAGCTTGTAACGGACTGTGACGGTTTTGGTATTGATGGGGTCTTCTCACTCGATACAAATATATCCAAATTATTGCGTGGAAACCCCCAAATCACCATATTCTTGGCACTGATAGGAAGGGAGGCATGGAAGGTACCAGGAAAACTGAGGGTCTAAATGTAAATAATATATACAGAATCAGTCAATATTGTCTATTGCAGGGGGCTTGACCCCCCACCCCATGGGGTGCTGCCACCCCTATACTCCTGCCCAGGAAAACAAAGAATCCTCCACGTATTCACAGTACAAGAGCAGGAGAGAGCAATTGACAGTCTTGGCATCAGGTGCTCTTGCTTGTCAATTTTATGTTGTGTCCTGCCTGTATATGTAGAGGTTTCAGTTAATCTTTACAGTATGGATCCATAGGGCAAATTGAATAAAATTCTTGTAGAGGACAAAAAGTTGGAGTAGTGGGTACAGGAAATATTTTGCAGACATAAATGGTTACCCCACAAATAAAGGAAAAAGACGTGGAAGGCACCGCTCTCAGGCGAAGTCACCTCAGTGCTCCTGAGTTTTAGCTCCATCTTGCCATGAATACTGAGGTGAAGACAATGTTTCTCAGGGGGTTTTGGGGAGCAGAGCCCCCCATAAACCTGCCCTTTGGGCAATTTTGGGCATGCCTAGTCATGACAACTTAGATTGATAAAGATTTTTTTTACCTGGAATTGGGGACTTGGACTTGTTTTGTGGTGAGTGCATCCATACTTTAAAAAATTACCAAAGATTGTGTTCCATTGTGGGGGTTAGAAAATTAAATTTTTATTTTTAAATATGTGCATCAAACCAAGAATGTGCACATGGGTAGGAAGACTGCACGAGGTTTCACTTGCAAACTGACCACTGGAACTATCATATCAATATTGTTGGCTTTGTTTGCAGTGGAAATAGTCATCGGACTCCTTCTCATCACACATGAATAAATCTTATGATATAGATATGATCTGTGAAGGCCCAATTTGCATGATAATAAGATTTACCACAGAAAGTTCAAATTGTCCTCCTGCAGTTATGATACTAACCATCCAGTGGTCATTTTCCTATGTGACAAGTAACTGTCAGGAAATCACAGTTATTCTCAGAGTTGCCAAGAAGTTCCACTGAAGTTGAGTATAACTTTATCTTAAGGGGACCGTCCCGGAAAATGGCCACCTTTCCTTACTCTATACAAGTTCATTTTAAGAAATTTTTCAGAGACCAGCAGTTTTGTAAGATTTTGGATCTTGGACACGGTAGAAGTCAAAGTACCTTTACTTTAGTATAAGCACTCCCTCTTGGCATCATCTGACCTAAGCCCAGTCTCATCACCTTTATTCATTGTAAAATATTAATTTTTTTTTTTTTTCTTCTTTTTCTTGGTTTATTTTTTGATAATTTTTTGACATTGTTATTACTGAACCATTTTCAGAGAAAATATACTGAAAAATACGCCATGAAATACCACACAAATTGTTAGGGTCAGGAAAGGTGGCAGAACTAATGATGTCACCACGTTTGGCCAATGAGAGGGCGCTATGAGATGCTAGAATATAAATTATTTGTATAATTTACTTGTTATTGTTATGATCATCAGTAGTAAAACCAAAGTTCCCATTTTTTATTTGCAGTAACAAAGAGTTCCCTACCATTAACAGCCATCAGAATACTCCAAGGAAAAAGTCAGGTTCATGTTTAGGTTCAATAGGCTAAATGGAAATGGAACTACCTTGTTACATGTTCTTTGGTAGAAGTTATATGTGTAATGGTATTTTTGAGGTAGGTAAAAATAGTATGAGTTGAAAAGAATTATTTTTCTTTCTTTAATGAGCTGATTTTATGACCATTGAATATCAATAAAAAAACATTGCTTTTAATATAAATTTGGATTGTGCTGATTGAGGTTGAATGTAGGTTTTATGAATTTAGGATGATTTGGCTTCTATCTTGCCAAAGATATTTCTACCTATTTTTTCCCAACTTAATAATACCTTTCTAGTTTGCTATTTTTGTTATTATTGTAAACAACTTATAGAATATATTTGTTTTAAACATATTAAATTTTGCCATATTATTTCCATTTATAGATTTTAAACTATCATCTTACAAGGATTAACAAGTAAATTCACAAACTTTGCAAGGGAAAGCTAGTTTTTTTTCCAGGGAGTTAGGTAATTTCTCTGAATAGGACTGTATTGAAATGACACCTTAGCTTCTGTGCTTTAGAAAAGCCACCAAAACATGCCCTCAAACATATGGAACTTATATAGCAGTCATACTTATCTCAAAGTACTTGATGTATAAGATAGAAATAGATACTTTGTTTCATACATATTTGAATAATGTATGATGCATTTAATGTATTTGGGGAATGATGGTTAACTCATTGGTGTCGAATAATCACACTGTCCCTTGCCTTGAATTTTCAGGAAAAATAGTTTTTTGTAATGCTATTAAAACTGATGTTATTATGATTAATATAATATTAGCAATGCTAATTGCAATAAAGAATGAAAACAAACATCAAAAAAAAGGGTAGACAGGTCAACTCTTGTCTACTAGTAAGTGATTAAGTATTTTTGGAGCCATCTTTGTGTAAAGACAAGCAATAAAGATGTCTTCCATTAAATATCTTCTACTCGAGTCTTACCTGCAAGTTATTGTATTTTAAACTCAAATCTTTTTCTTTTACAGCAATGATCCCCATACACTGTTTAGGGAGATGTCCCTTATGGAGACCAGTAATGAGGCTAAACATCCCAGAACTTTCTTCAAGACCCCATTTATGCAAAGGAGTGCGTGGTATGTACATCAGTGATGCCTAAATAAGAACTTCATATGTTATCCCTTTCTACAAAGTACTTCATTTTTATGCTTTATAAATGTCTGTTTTGGAGGTTCATAGTCTATTATTCCTAAGCATAGTTTATTATGATAAGTAATTATAAGTTTGTATAGATATAAATGGCATGTAAGTTTTTTATGATGTAGTGCCACTGTGCTTTGTTTATGCTCATCATAGAGACACTATATATTAGAGTGAGTGTGCTGTTCCATTGTCTGTTTACAATTACTACTGGCAAGCCTCATGTGGGGGTCATCTTGGTGGTGTCTCAGTACATGACATGATAATTATTAAAATGTTATTTACATTACTAATAACAGTATAAGATACAGGAAAATATTTCCTAAAATCGAGGATAAGGGTAAACGGATGAAATAGGTAGTATTAGTAATTGGCTCATTGGTAATTGTGAAAAAAAAACAATTGATAAACTAAACTCACAGTGGGCATGGCATGTACTTGCATGCCATCTCCAGTGGCATTGGGTTAAAGAATGGTCCTCCGAAAGCACTAGTTCTTAAACTAAGAACCATGGCAAGTAGTGTATGTAGTAAAATGAGTGTGTAATTACATGTAGAGTCTTTGTGTCATTTTCTACAATGTATTCATGTAAGTGCAGAGTCTCTGCCCCTTGTAGTAGAGAGTAAAATTGTGTGTGTGGAAAACCTATTACAGAGTCTCTGCCCCTTTTAACATGAAAACTAAACTAATTGGGTGTGGGCCTGTTGATGGGTTGTACATTATCAGTGCCTCAAAGCTACTGTCTGACTGAAAGCAGACAGTAGCATCCTTCTATTGTATATGTAATGAAATATGGTAATTAATATTTACAGACATTAGAGTATAGAGTATATATAGAGCACAAAGAGATATTTTTATCCTTATTTGCAAGGGGCTTGAGAGAGAACTGATTTGAGCCCATGAGGAAGTTAGAATCACATAAGTAGGAAAAGAAGTTAAGAAGTTTGAGAAACACTACCAAAAATGAACAGCCATTTTATTTTTTTTTTATTTTTTTTTTTATGATCCCTTACCTTAAGGAAGTTTTAGGTTTAAGTGTACTAATTAATAGTCCTTCCTGTATAAGTATGTATGCCAAGGGTGTTTAAAACTTTTGACCTACCGATTTTAGTGTGCAAAATTTTTTTTAGCGTTTTTATTGATCCTCCTCTTCTTTCACTTTCCTAAGATGTGAGAACAGTGTTGAAAAGATGAAAGGCTGTCTTTGTGTCAGTCATGAACGGCCTCTGGGAGCCATGGGCACAGTATTCCCTTGGTTAATTGGCTAGCCCTTACCCCTTATATGGACCCAGAGGGGTAGACCTTTTCTTTTACCCATTTTATTCAGGCTCACCATAGCCAATAATGAAGATTTTTTACCCTTAATATAGGCAATAAGGCTTGCCCCTTTATCAACTAGCCTATCTGAATACGATTTTAATGGTTTTCTGACCCCTGTTCCTCTTGACCATGGCTCAGACCACCAATACTAATACCCCCTGCTCAACATTTATTGACAGCTCTATCCACTCCAAACCACCCTCCTATGTTATTATTCAACCTTCAGAGTGCACCCATTCCTCTCTCCCAACATTTTCCTCTCCATCTCTTACTGCACAGTCTTCTTCAATGTCTACCCCCCCTTCCCTTATTTCTACTTTTCATCTTTATTGTCCTCCCCCCATAGAACTACTCCACTCGATACCACCCCAACTTCCTCTTGCCTCCTTTCTACCACCTCTACCCTTACAAACCTTCTGAATACTCTCTTTATCCTAGCCAAGTGGGATCAATTCTTTGTGATACCCCCAACAGCCCCCTATTCTGAAAATGCCCTTCTCTTTCAACAGTGCCTCTAAGAACAAGTAGGCAAAGTTACCTTTCATAGTCGCTCCGATGGTTCATGCCTTGTCACAGTTGCATCTAAATCCCAAGCTTGTGGACTATCTACCCTGACCCATTCCTATTGAACCAAACCCTTCTCTTAATATTTGTACTGGAACTGCTTCTATAACCCCAAATGCTTGTCCTATATACAACAAGAACTGGTCAAACTGTGAAAATGACCTACATACTTGCCTTGCTGAATATGATGCAGTGGCAGTACAGTGCTACACTATTCCTCCCAGAAGCCAGCATAAGGTCCATGTCAATAATGTAATGATTAACTTTCTCATCACTGTCAGAAATGTTGGCATTTTGGCCACCCAGCCAAACACTTTCACTCCACAGCTCTCTCTCCTCTATATGCCCAACTTGGTCGTGACCGTTCAAATTGCCCTGCTCAGTCACGTAACTGTGGAATCTCCTATAATGTATTTTATAGGACAGGGGTTGGCAACCTTTTGAACATAGTGTGCCAGTTGATAATTAATGCTTTCTTATTCATAACCTTGCATGCCATTTTTTTTTTTTTTTTAGCACTGGATACCCAGATGTATTTTCCTACACATGCATAACACAAATGTAATATTTTTGTAGTATTTATTATTCTTTGTAACAAAAAATAAATGTTTTATCATTTTAGATTTATACTCACCATATTATCTTACTGTTTAACTTTTTCTTTGCTCCTCTGAATCACATTGCATGCCATAGACAAGCGCTCTGCGTGCCACGTGCGGCTGACCTCTGTTATAGGAGCTGCCCTGACTATAAGCTCAAATATGAGGTAGCAGTCCTAAGATTCAAACTAGCCCTCACTCTATGTGAGGCCAGACAGGAAGCATAACGATGATTTTCTATCTCAACTTATTCCAAAACAGTCCTTTGTTCTGCTCCCTACCATTACTTGCCCTATTCCTGTCAAATTCCATTTCCAGTTTAGATCCAGATACTCCACTGTCTACCTGTCCTACATTTTCCTCCTCTTCTGGTCCTCAGATATCTATCTCTTCTTCTCCTCCTTACAAGAGAACTTTGTTTCTCAGTCCTTTTCACCCAACTCCCCTCTAGAAACTCTTGAAGACATCCAAAACTTCCTAAAGATGACCCAAGGGAACACTCTGCTCCCTCCAATCCCTCTGTTCCTACTCCTTCTACATTTAAAGTATTTGCCAATATCCATCCTCCTCCTCCTCAAGTTCCCCCCAACATACCCCAATACCCCTATCCTCTCTATTGCTCTCACCTGAATGCTCACAGGAATCCCGTCTGTCACAAGTGTCCTTCTCAAGACCCCTCCCCTCCAAACATTCTTCCTGATACTTCACCACCTTTCCAAGTCCCTATTTCTCATCCCCTAGATTCTTCTCCTACTTCTCAAACAGCCACCTCTGTTTTCCTTGAACAATGTCCCTATTCCTTCCCCAGTCACAGATACACTGCAATTCACTCAAAGCACTATCCCCTTAACCCTTCCTATTTTACTAATCTCTACTCCCCTTCCCGGATTATTCTCCTACTTTTCCAAGAGCCATCTCTGTTTTCAATGAACATCATTCGTATTCCTTCCCCAGTGACCAATACATTGCATTTCACTCAATCGCCCTACCCCTTAACCTTCCTATTTTTACTAATCTCTGCTCTACTTTTGCTCCTTTCCTCTACTTTTGCTCCTTTTTCCCTTTTCACTACCATGGTATCCTATAATGCTCTCTAATCTTTGACATCTAATACATTTTACCCTAATCTGTAACTCCTCTTTACCCTTTTCAACACAATACTTTGCCATAGTGCTATATGACCTTTGATGTCGAGCACTTTTATTTGTTTCAAATATTAAATGGTTTGTCTTTTATAGTCCGTATGTATATAAATAATTGTAATCACAGAAAACAAAAACTAAGTTTTATTCATATCTTTGCAGTATTAGTGCCTAGGTTTCTTCAAACATCAGCAAACTGGAGGTTCAAAGAAGACAATAAAACAACTGCCTTGGCTGTGTTGGATAATGTCAAGCAGGTATAGCAGATGTGAATTTAGTTTTCTTAATTTGTGTGGATCTGCATATCAGCATTGTGTGTATTGCTTGATGTAATGAATATTGTTACACCACCATCATTGTATTTATTTGCATATCATATTTTTCTGCTATTTCTTTTCCAAAATTAGAATTCCAAGGAAGACAACAGACACATGGTTATTTTTATTTTGCTTTTTTCATTTTCTTTTTGTGGATACAGGTAAAGTTATTTATATTGCCTCTTCTTTCCAACAGGTACGATATTCTCCAACCCCAGCACTGGTCCTTGGTTTTTCAGGTTTGATCCCCTTTGTGGCAGCTCCTCTTTACATAGCATCCTCAGGCGTTTTCATGCCCGAAGTGGCTGAGGCACAGTTGTTCTACGGGGCTTCCATCCTTTCCTTCCTCGGTGGTGTGCGGTGGGGACTGACCCTTCCAAAGGAGAGTGCACAGCCCCCAGATTGGTATAACTTAAGCTACAGTGTAACCCCATCACTCATAGCTGTGTCAGGACTCCTGATGCCACAGACCATTGGGACATTGACCATTATTGGTGGCCTGGGGTTTGCTGGGTACATGGACCTTGCCATGTGGGGTTACCCAACCTGGTTCAAAGGACTAAGGTTCTGCCTGACCTTTGTAGCGGTGCTTTCTCTTTGGTCGAGTTTGATGTTCAAATTTGTGCTGAATGAGGCTGAGACCAAGACTAAAGAAGAAGATAGTAAAGTAGATAGCAATGTATCATAGATGATTATATAGGAAGTGCTTATTCGTAGCAAAAATAAATATATATATATAAATATGTATATTTTGTACAGCTGGTATATTTCAATAGTCCTTGTATTATTTGGTATAAAGCAGACTAATTATCACTAAACTGATGCATTTATTTGTTCATATTTATTTTATATGATGATAAGTTTCAAGTTCTTTATAATTAAACAAAAAAGAAAAATGGCAACTCGTCCTACTCTCAGAAATGCCATTTAGCCACAGTCAATGTACTCAAGTATTACAGACAGACAGTGAACTAGTGCTTAGTAAAAGCTTAAAAAAAAAGTGGTCCTCTTTATGTACTGCAGGTCTGGCAATTACAATTGTTACAGATTAGAATCCAGTTTTTTTTTTCACCATAATATTGCTTCATAACATACAAAGCAACCATGCTTATCTCAGCTCCATTTCATCATTAAGAGGTATGTAAATAAAACAACAGTCTAAATCATATTTGTATTAGCAACATTACATTTTGCAACACATAATACCTTTTCCACATACATTCTTGCTTCACTCAACAATAATTTGATTTGAACAATATTTATATAATTATATACAGATAAAGAAAAAGAAAATGTTTGAAGACTTGGAAAGATTTGATATTAATCACTTTGACAGTAATAAAAGAGAAGCCATAACTATAATTAGCTGTTCTTATACCCTAAATCTGAATTAATAAACATACATTTCAGAGACTGAACAACTTTACAAGATTTCTTTTCTACTCTGTTAAAGAACAGAGATTCCAACAAGAGCAGGCACTCAAATAAGACACTAATTTCTGCTTTAGTCAGTCAAATAAAAGCTTATATTCACATTCCTGTGAATTCGTAAAAGCAACCTTCATTCAAGCATACATTCATTTTATAAATGTAAACAATTATCAAATTGTAAATTATCTGAGATGGCCTGTTTTTATATTTGCATACCAATCTTCATTTTGTCACAGTGGGACAAGGCTGAGACAAATTTCAGAGAGATATAGCATAAATTTCTTGACACAGAGGCTAATGTTACAGCCATTCAGGTACATCTTTGGGCGATGTATAACAAACATCTTTTTATTAGCAATCCGGGAGGGGGGGGGGGAATGTTTCTCTAAAGCCATAAATAATAAAATTTCAAATGCATATTCCTAAGTGGCACAAAAAAAATCATATATAAGAATATTAACTATATCATAACTTCCTTTATAATAAAAAATATTTGGTTGTCACAAAAAAAAAGGAAAGAAAAAAGAAAAACTAAACTTGGGCACCCTTTCTCCGCCCAAAGAACTTAAATACAGAACCTTTCTTCTCCTTCTCTTTCTTATTGGCTGACACAGGGACATCACCCTCAGAGGAACTTTCACTGAGGCCTTGTCTGTCAATGGTGGAGTAGCGATGGGAAGGCGTGGGTCCGCTACCAGGTGGGATAGAGGCACCAGGGGGGAGACTGCTACCCTGGGGTAGAGACATGGTGCGGGGAGAGTACTCGGAATATGGCTGTAAGGGGTACAGAGAAGAACTACCATTACCTTACAAAGTACAGTTGGATGAGGAAACTAGTATGTAATACATAGGTTTACAATACTATAACACCAGTATCCTTTCATTGTAATCTATCCTCAAAAATACTGTACAGTTTACTTTTTCTAGTGAAATAAGAAGAGAAGTAAAAGTAATAGAAAGATAAGTCTTTTCTGCACTAACTATATGGAAAAAAAAATCATACTTTAAAGTTATTGGGATCAGAATTTTGGACATTTGTTAAAAGCATATTGTTAAAAGCATACTCTGTAGTTTGCAACTTAATGGAATAAAACAATATTATAGCAACAAAAAAGAGAGGTTTTGTGTTTTTCTTTTGGGTATCTTAAATGACAATATAAGAGTACTTAAACGGAAACAAAAATAATCTTCATGGTTTTGGGATGTCCTCCAAAGATGAGCAAATTTAAGCCCATTAAAAAATAAATAGTCCATACATAAAAAAAACATTGTGATATTTTACTTAAACAATTT